AAAGTTAAAGACAGGAAAAATATATACTATTAGGAATCTATTTGGGTGTTGATATTGAAAGTGAGATTTATCTTCCTTTTGCTTATGTATATATTTAATTTTATGCAATAAATGTATATTCCTGATAAAATAAAAAGATTTTTACATATGTACGCACACACATACATACATGGGACAAGTTAAGTAAAAATCTATTGCTGCTAGCGTACATGGTTTGGATATGGACTCCTTGGGGTAATACTGAGTATAACTGTAATTTTCATTATTTTTGTAGACACTGATCTGGAAAGGATGTGACGCTTTTAAATCTTTAAACAGTAAGATCTTTAAACAGTAAGAGAGTGAATGAATGACAATTTGGGCTATAATGAGCAAGAAGATACTCAGGCAGTATTTCAGAAACAAAGCCCTAGAATCAGTCAGTATGATTTTATAGTCAGTACCTATTTTATTCTCAATAGTTAGACTCAGATTGACAAGCTGATTTAGAAGCTGTGAATTTGTCATTGATAGAATGCTTTACGCAGAAACTGGGTTTCTGTACTGGATGGGTTATTGATCTGATGTTCCAGACAATGATAAACTGCCTTATACTTATAGGGCCAGTAGTGGCCTGTTGAGGATTAGTTAGACCTTGCTATCTTGGCATGCAATGCGGCAATAAGCAGCCTAGATCATGGCATGGAGGAGGCCACTACACATCCGTCTCCTGTACATTGACACAAATTGCGATGGCCCTTGATAAAGCTTCCAGAATGAATAATACCTTTTACCTGAAGGCTAAATATTCCCTTTCTCAAATTGTTGCTGATGGGAAGTTTACTAAGTCTCCAGATTGGCCTAGTGTCCCCAGACGATATGGAGCCAACTCCAGCTTCCAATCTCATGGGCATCTGCAGTTGTCTGCAGGCATTCATTATGCTACCTCGTAGGTTTTCCTAGAAAATCTGCAGGACCCGTGCATCAGGGTTCCCGCTGCCTGCCTCCACATATCCCAGAACGAAAACTCATGACCTAACAGCTCTCTTTACAGCACTGACACTGAGCTTGCTTCTCTAACTTTCATGTTTCACATGCACACACACTTCCCAACTAGAAATCACCCTACACTGTGTTCTGTCTTTGTGCTTCTTAGGTTTCTCTGGGGTCCCAGATTGATTTACAGAAGAAGAAGAGACGCGCACCCGCTCCTCCTCCACCACAGCCACCACTGACAAGTCCCCTGGTACCCAATCGCATGGAGGACCGGGAAGAAAACAGGAAGAGCATGATGGGTGAGTGAGTGAGCTCTCTCTGAGTGTCTGCATGGATCTTGGCGCATGCTCTCTGTTTGGTATTTAGCCTATTTTAACTTTTGCAGTGGACTCACTCCATAATGAATTAACCTAAGAAACATTCATGCTGAAGAAAGAAAGTCTGGAAATAAATAGTTAAGAGTTCATTTAATACAGCAGAGCTTTATGGGGGTTCTGTACATATAAAAGGTGGGGGCAGAGGAATGGAGGGTGCAGAATGGTAGAAGAAACTGGAGAGGGGAGACGATGGAGCGGGGATGAGTGTGAACGTGAGTTGTGTGAATCTGACGAAAAAGGGATATGTTCTCAAGATGAAATCTGAAGAAGTTGTTTTGAAAGACAGTGTTATTTTAACACTCTGGAGATTTGTAGGTCAGTTGTCAAAAGTTCGGTAATTTTTTGACCATCATGTTTGAAAATGATCTCAGTGCATATACCTTTTGTACGTTTAGCAAAGACCTTGATAAGCCCTGTGGAAAAAGCAAACATGGTGGAATCCTAACACCTTTGAGCAGAAGGAGCCTGTTAGGTACATCCTTGTTTCCTACTCTCTCATTTTACAGGCAAGGTGAAGAGAGACTAATGATGGCGGTCTCGGCAGCCACAGGCCAGGGGTGGCTAATCTTGCTTTAAACAGAGTCAGCGTTCATTATGTTTGTTTGGATGTAAGAACAGAAAGGGCTATTGAAGAGGAGTTGCAAAAATGACAGCTTAGGATTCAAACACTGATTACCTGAGACAATAACCCACTACACCCAAAGTGCATTAAAACTCATTAGTCAAGCCAAGAGACCCATTCCTGATGCAATCTGCTGTACTCAGTAACTCCCGCATTCTGGCTTTTACCTAATATCTCTAACCCCGGACAAGAAGCTACTCACAAGAATAAGTGATTACATTGTTAGTATCCAAAACTTGAATAAGAGCTACTTGCCTTCGTGTCAGAATTCTGCCCCCTGTTCAATATTGTAGGTTTAACGTCTTAGCATTTCACAACCTAGTAATCAATTCTCCTAACGAGCAACAACCTAGATCTCATATTTGCTCCAATTTTCCCAAATAAAAATATTAGATTAAAAATAAAAACAAAAGCAACCCATTATCAGTTGATCATTTAAAGAAACATGTTGTTGTTGTTGTTTTTATGTGCCGTGGAATCAGTTCCGACTCATAGCGACCCTGGTACAGGGTTTTCGAGGCTATA